CAGGTGAACAAAATAAAGGAATTTACATTAATCTGAGTGAAAGAAGAAATGAAGAATATTTATTAACTCATTCTGTCGCCAGTGTGCAAGATTGGTTAAAAGCTCCACTATATGTAGTTGTTGCTGGAAGCTGCATTGTAACTTGTCCAAAGACAAAATTGAAAGCAGTATTAGAATATAAAGAAGAGGTAAATATAATATGATTATTTATTTATATAGTATTTATATGTACATAATGTCTCTGTAGACTATAAATAATTAATTGATTAAAAATAATTACTTTTTTTTTTAAAAAAAAGCAATGGCTTGGAAAACCAAATTTGTCATAGAAGGCAAGATATTTAAATATGATCTGAAGAATGATGATAAAAAAAATTGAAGATGGTTAATGAAAATGATGTTGTGGACAAGTCCATGCAACAAGACCAGATACAAATGTAAATAATTATTTAATTGTATTTATTTTGTTATTTTTAAAAAAAATTTTTTATATGAATATTATTAATATGTTTGTGTATGATGATTAGGAAACAAAATTACTTTTAGATATGGAAAAGATATTCCCAATTCCAAAAAAAGTCAAACCAATTTCAAAACAAAGACCACTCGAATCACGTAATGTTTGGAAACCTGTCACAACAGTTTTATTTCAAAAAGACTATACAAAGGCTACAAAAGAGAAACAAATAATAGAAGAAAGGCAAAGACAAAAGGTTGCAGAATATAAATCTAATAAAGAATTCAATGCTGCTTATTTTAAATTACCAATTATTGATGGTAAACCTCATTTAAATGATGCAGGACATTCAGCAATAAAACAAGAACATCAATTCATATTTTAAATTAATTTTATATATAGTACAATTACATACATTATTATATTATTATATTAATATTATATTACCTAATTATTATAGATTATCATATTATTATTTGTATTTATTTGTATTTTAAAAATGTTTAGAGGTGAGGTAAATTAAATTAAAATTAAAATTAATCCAACAAATAGTAGTACTAATAATGAGACACATCTTGATGTATACCAATTGATAATAAATGTGTAGATGGAACTAATGGGTATTGTTTGAAATTAATTGTGGTATACTCAATTGATTATAAAATATCTGAATGTATATAGTGAGTATTTTCCATAGCAACCAATTGAAGGTCCATGATAGTGAACTTCAAACATAAATCTCATGATATAAACAAAAAGACTTGTTCCAAGATTAGTTTTTCTTTGATTGGATGCTGCCAAATTTCCATCAAGATAAAACCAAGCAGGTGGCATAATGATCAAGTTTATTATCAATGAATAATCAATGAGGAAACATATTGAATAAAATTCAAGAGGAAGACACCCCAGAAAAAGCCAATGCTTCTTTCACCAAGAGGTCATACCCAGTGGATAATGTTTGGTTAAATTTTTCCAACATTTAACCTTTTTTCAAATAAATTTTTATTTAATAAACTAGATTAATTCGTGATCCATGAAACATTTGCAAAATTTTCATAATTTTCATAACAGAACAAAAAAGTCATTCGTGACAAATTTCATACTTCATTCATTACACTAATATCGTCTGAAACATAGCCAATGGTAGTAGTAGTAACTGAAAAAGTATCTTGTGGTATTTTTTCAAATTTGATATCAAGTAAACATGCTTTAATGATGGTTAACTAAAATTATTATATAATTGTTAAAAAATAATTAATTAATTAGCATTTAGTATTAAAATATTATTAATGAATTCAAAAATTACAAAATTACATAAATGATCCATTCTCAATATAAAATTTGGAACATGCCACAAAGAAAATTTCATATCCGTTGATAATTTCTGGTGTATTCTTCAGAAATTGGCTGAAAGATTATAAACTCCAAATCAAAAAACTCTTTTAACTCTTCACCTTTTCCTTTTGCTTCACCTGATACAATTTTATATTTTTCAGTAAATTTTTCCTTATAGTTATTAACAATAATAATACCAGTTGATTGACCAGGCATTTTTATTTTTATTTTAATTTAAAAAAAAAAATTTTTTAAACCAAATTTTTTTTTC